TGCTGGAAATGTTAATGAAACCCCTGTGTTGATGGCCCAACACTCACTGCTCCTTGCCAGCACTTTGGCCATTTTCAACCTCATTCACCCAGCTTTGTTCCTGATCCTTTCTCAGCAGTCCTACTTGAACTGGTCCTGGGTTTCCCTTGTCCACCTCATTTGCGTCAAACAGTCATTCTCACCTTCTTTTCTAACTACTAGTTGGCTTAGCCAGTTCCACCGTCTATGTTGTATCATTCTCTTAATTTGCATAAGACATGCACTTGGTGCTTAATGTTAGTTCTTGAAGAGACGAAGTGATTAGGATAGCTGAAAAAATTCACAGTAGCATTCAATTTTTACCTTTTATCAACATTGCAAATGTACTACTTAATAAGATAGTTTTAACATCAGTTTAGAGACGTACATGTTGCCAGATCAACACACTCAAGGGGTAAGTTTTTTAAACTACACCCGTTTACAAGTCAAAAAATTGTAATCTTGATGTTTCATATTATTTACCCACTAGGGTTACATGTACAGCTGTGAATACTGTTGAACATACCTTTTTAGTACAGTGTACAAAATAATCACCTTGTTTAGTAATTTAATTGGAACTCAGTTCTTAATTGTTCATTGTAAGGTATTTTTATTTATACAGAATACAATGTATTATAGTAGGATTCTGTCAACAGCTTTTAATTGTTTTTGAAAGAAACCCTTTTTAATCAAAGGATAGTAGACAATAAAGCCAGCTGAGTCAAAACAGAACACTCAGTAGACCATACTCACTGTCATCCTGGATTGAGGGGAGGACAACAAACTTTTTTAAGATAACTGGACATAGGTTAAAATGGTTTTTTAATTTTGTATATAGAGAAAAATAGTGTGAAATCAATTAGTACAACCAAAACCCAGGAAGGTAGTTACAATTTTTATTCATGTCTAGCCTGATTTTATCAGAAGATCATTTAAGAGGCGATGCAATCGAACAATATGAAAACTATTTAGACCTGAATGAGCAAGGATACAATAAATTAAAAAAGAAAAGGCTATGTGCAGACTATTTTTGTTTCCTTCTACTATTTATAGTAACCTATGTGAGTTACATTATAGATCTATTACAAGGTCATTACTGCCTAACAATAATTTCATTTAAATATCAAAATCATGAATGGCTGTAATAAAAATTCTGTTAAAACTAAGTTTGGTGGAGAAATCATAAATCTGGGCATTACTTTACATTGTGTCATTTTTTAAAACTAATTGGTTGAAAACACTTCGAATAACAGGTTTTTTGACAAAATTTTCTTAATTAATGTTTGCTCACTACTGTTGCTAAAATATTCCATTGCAGAATTATATATAGTTTTGCCACTGAATTCATCCCAAACTATAGAAAAATTACTGTCAGGGTCGTGTGAGCTTACAAATTGTGGGAGGCACAGTGGCCTT